TCCTCCTCTCCCCCCCCCCCCCGCCTCTCGTTCGAAAGACGCTCGCATTCGTGGCTCGACTTTGATGCATTATGCAATTTGCATCGATCGCATGTTGCGGAAGAACTGGAAAAAAAGCTCCCCGCTCCCCATTAAAATTCGGATGATTTTACGTGTGTGTGTGTGTGTGTGTGTATATATAAGTTTTTATGCGGATAGATCGAAAATGTAGATAGAGCGGGATCAGAGATAACTTTATAAACGGGACAAAACGGGGGTAAAAACGGCGATGGCCTAGTTTCGCCGTAATAGCACGATCGGTAAACAACGGTTATTTTGCAACAAATTTCGCAAATGCCCGCATATCCTCAACTCGTGCATTCTATTGGAAACTTGTCCCAAACAAACGTGCGAAGCGGGATCTCCGATCGCCGCCTTCCTTCCTTCCTTTGACGGCGACCATTGCCACGAGTTTTATCTCTCGATGGACAATCGATTAATTATTCGTCGAGAGTACACTCTCTCTGATTGCAGTCCAGTCCGAGATATGGGAATTCGGATTTTAGAATTCCGCAGGAACGAAGAGAGTTGGAACGTTTAAGTTTCGTTTCTTTTCTCTTTTTCGCGGTAAGCGTAAAAAAATAAAACAGAGGGATTTTCGGTTCTATCTATCGGCAAAGTCGAGTCTAACGAGATCTGTTTTCCGTTACTACCAGGCTCGCAACAAACCGGCAGATGGAGTGGGCCACGTGAACCAGAAGGGCTCGACAGGTCAAAAAGCGCCGCTCACAGCCGGGCAGAAGGTGGCGCCTGGTGCGAAAGTTGCAGCGAAACCAGCTCAGAAACCCAGTGCTCAGAAGGGGCAAGTTAAGGTTACGCCTAAGGCAGCTTCCGTCAAGACTGGCAAGAATAAGAAGAAGGGGCAGAGGCAGCAGTACGACCTAATCGTAACCATCAATTTGGTAAGCAAAGAGTAATAATAATAATAACAACAACAACAACAATTTCTCTCCAGTAAAACCTGTACCCTTCGCTCAAAGATTGATTGACAGATTGAAGGATTAATTTGGCAATTAAAATTTCGAGGTGATGTTATTAAGTAATCGTTGGAAATGCTCGTTTGGAATAACGTTTATCCGTAGCTTTTATCGATATAAAATATAAATGATCGGATTGGGCAAAGTTTTAACAATCGAATTTTCTACTTCTCGTTCGAATAATAATAATAAGAAGAACAATCGTCGATTTTTCGAACTATCCTCCTAAAATTCGAACCGTGCTCGTCTCTGTTCGCTGTCAGCCGGCAGTAGAAGTGGACGATCGTGGCCGGGCGAGCACCGCTCCGCTCCTAATACCGATCAGACAGTGGAAACGGACGGCAGGCGCCTGATCTTTGGATCTTTCTTCTCCATCAGATGGTAGCACGGGTCCTGATACGAATTTCGAAATACGTATCACCGTCGTTATCATCGTCGTTTATTTATAGGGGGAATAAGTGGGCAAAGCTTCGACGTATCAAAGATTAATTTCATCGATGCAAGAAGTGGTAAAGGATCGAGTGGAACGTGGAGTTTTTTAAATTTTTATTATATTCGAATAAATCGCCTCGTTTGTTTTCGCACGGTTCCACAATGTTTTCGTATCGACGATACGCCCGTAAAAATAATCTTCGTTTTAAGAAATTCACATTCGAAGCGGGTCAGGGTGTCCGTGATTTTCCCCGTCGCGACGATCCAGAAATAGTTCCTCTCGACACTTTTACCTTCTTCCTCGAAAAAAAGAAGAAGAAGAAGAAGAAGAAGAAGAAGAAGAAACAATGGCTCTCGTTTAAAATAATAATAATATAATAAACACTCTTAATCGATTATTCGTCGCGAGACGACGCGATATACGATTGGGATTCGAGGAATGCTCGATTCTTCTATTGGCAAACCAGAGAATTGGACGCCAAAATACTCTGCCGACGATCTTAAATTATGCGCGACTCGAAACGTTTCGGTCGCTCCATTAGTGCCTTCGATTACCAGCGTTCTTTCCTTCTCTCTCTTCATCCAACTCCATCCACGTTGACAAATTGTGGTCCAACCATCGATCAAGGGTATGAAAAGAAGACAATGCAACGGGAAATATGAAGCGAGTGAAGAGAAGATCGCCGGCCAATCATTGGGGGCCAGTGACAAGTTAAAAACAGCCGAAGGTTGTCCAAAAAGCTCGAGCCCAAGTTTCGTTCAAACAAATGTGAATAATAGTCGAGCGTGTACAGTCGGGAGTGTACAGATTTCGGGGGTCTTTGACTCTTTATCCCGATTCGAAGGGGAGACGATGAGGATGAAGATGATTAATTATCGCGTGTCCACCTCTTGAAAGACGATCGATTGCATACACGTCGCGCGCACGTGACTTTTTTTCGAACCGAGGGAGAGGAGAGGAAGAATGGACCCGAATGGACGAAGGAAGTCCACGCGGTGACGTTGCCGCTCGCCAGCTCATAAATAATATTATTTGTGTTCGCCGCTGTGTAGTCGCGCTGCTTCCGATTGACAGAGCGTGGCAGCGCTCTGCTCGGGACGAGCGAGATCGGAAGAAGAGGAGATTCGAAATTCATTCGAATGTGAATTCGTTGTGGCGGTATGGCGGACACGGAGAAGAAATACACGACGGCGTACGGGAGATTGAGAAGGTTAACGAGCACCATAGACGGCCAGATTCGGCAGATAAGCGTGAGTAGCCGATAGATTCGTCCCTCGCTTCCGATTTCGATGGTGCCGGGCTGAGAAATTGAAAGGGATTTCGAGCGAACTTCGTGCGCCAATAAAACCTCATGAAACTTTCCGTCGAGAATTTACGTCGAAACTCACTCCTCCGCTCGGGAGGAAAAGAAGAAGACGTGACCCAGTTGAATATCCACCGACTCTATCTATTTAAAGGGGGGAAGGGAATCGAAGCATCGAAGCGAGAGTTTTCGAGCACCGAGTATAGATCCATTCGATCCGGTTTTTCCACGAAATCCGCCACGGTGAAAATTTCGTAAACGTGCCACGAATCCTGGATTATTAAACGTCCCTTTCTCAACCGCGTTTCTCCTTTTGATAAACCAAAAGACGAAGACGCTTCGAACTCGATCTCGTTTCAAAGAGAATCGAATTTTTCGTTGGGAAACTTGACCCAACAATTAAATTGGCGTTGATTATATATACGCGAATCAACCAGCTGAAAACATTGTTCCAGACTCGGGCCAATAATCGTAAACCGATTATTATATTCAGAGGCGATCGAGCGTATTCGGCCAAACTGTCAATTGATCTCTTTCCCATTCATCCGGTATATCCTCCCACGCGACCTGATTATAAGTCGCATCGAAATATCCGGCAAGGTTGCGACAGTTTATTATTAATAATGTGGAAGCCCCTTCTTGCTTGTCGACGAAGCAAATTACTCGAGCTTAACCAAAACTTGAATCGAATCCTTCTCGTGTCACTATATACATATAAATGTATCGCCAGAAAGATCTCTCTCTCTCTCTCTCTCTCTCTCTCTCTCTTCCCTTACGTTTTTCGTGCGACGTGACGATGCAAGGAACAAGGCGCGTGCAACGTTTCCAATCCAGACAGATATTACTCGATACGCCAGATGTATACGTCTCCTCTGAAATGTATTTGGGTCATAGACGATCTTCTTCCCCCCTTCGTTTGTTCCAGAATAAACGTGGAATCGGCAAACGTGATCGTGCTCCCTGTAATCGTGTTAACGACGCGCCTCCCGTTAATCCGTCGTCTATTAATACTGATTTAACAATACAGCGATGTGTAGATAAGCCGACCTCCTATTACCAAGTTGGAGGGCGAGGTATTATTAATCGGTGCGAATTATGCGTATTCGGCGTAGTCCAGGACCAGAATTGGATTAAATGAGAGAGAGAGAGAGAGAGAGAGTTCGTAAAGAACGAGAGAATGATTCGAGATGGGAATTTTTCGTAATTGCTTCTCTTTCGATGGTTGTTTTATAATAAGTTTAAGGAGGTGAAAGAAATTGATCAATCGCAATTCTCGATTGAATCGAAACTTGAGTTTTCATGAGAGCGTATTTATCCTGCGGCGCAGGATTCGATCTCGGTTCGATCGTTCACTGCGAGGAAATCGTTTCGATTTGTCGTCGAGTCGAGGAAAAAAAATGAATCGAGGAGCAATTATTCCCTCCTCGAGAATCGTCCGAATATGGTTAAATTCGATCGAATTAATGAGATTTAGGATGGAATTGGCCATAGTTCACTGCGAGCACGTCGCGTAACGTAATCTAATTTAATTATTAGATTTAATTAAAATTAATTAAAATGGTTAATTCTTTCTAATCTTAC